AGTCCTTATAAGCAGTGAGAATGCCCCCAAAAATGTCCCTTCTTTGTTTTGGCATTTTTTCTGCGAGATCTGCCAGAGGAAAAAAGTATCCGAAGATGGGTTGTTGGGGCTAAAGGTTGAGGCTGATAGAACACTTGACTTCACCTCAGAGGGGTTAGCTGCATCAAAATGTATAAGTCTAGAAAAGTCAACAAAGTATGTCAGTTGCGTTTGTCTTTAATCAGTCATTGACAGCTTCTATGCGGTACATATATGCGTCGCCGCTCAAGCATACGCATCCTAATCTCACATCTTTCTAACAAAAAACAAAAACTAAAAAAATGTTATTAAAATTTTAACTGAACACTACTATACCATATTGCATTTTATGCACAAGGGCGTACAAAATGCAATTTCGTTAGCTTATAAAGAATTAGTTTTACAATGTGTGGCAATGTCTCTACCAGTCGCAAACACCATAAGAGTGTTAAATAAAAGCGTATAAAAAGAGCCATTTATTCAGACATTTAGACTGAACTATGTTAGAAAAGTAACATATTATACGTACCTTATTTACACCACTACCCAGCTACATTTTCTGAACCTCATCTCTGGAAAAGTCAGTAAACTTAAAACTAACACAAGTAAGACGAGATACGTTAAGAAACCAGTTTCCCAGAAAGATTCAGCAGATGGATTCTGGGAACATTTACGTCAACTACAGCGAGACGAAAGATGAAGACTTAATTGTCTCTGCGATACTTGGCTCCACAGTTATCTTCCGATCCTGTTCAAATTTGTTCTTTTATTAGAAGCTGGAGATAACGTCTTAGATTCTAGCATTTCGGAGGACTGAACTGAATTGCCTGCACCAGTGTTTTATTTATTTATTCCTTATTTAAACCAAACTATAAGCACGTTATAAATAACAAAGCACAGATTCAATCTTGCGGTGCCTTACAGTACGTAGCTGTGCCTGTAATACCAGGAATGGCAACCTGGTCTTTGTAAACATGAAACGAAGTACCCTGTTGACATTGGTAACATGGCTTTCCTATTAACAATGAGTTTTACGTATTCACTTTGTCGCCATTTTAATGTCGAGTTGTTTTAGCGAAGGTGGTAAATGACACGCTACAAAATGCCATATTAATGTCGAGTTGTTTTAGCTGAGGTCATAAATGACACGCTACAAAATGCCATATTAATGTCGAGTTGTTTTAGCTGAGGTCATAAATGACACGCTACAAAATGGGAGTTGTGACGTGATGTCTCAGTTTTTATGTCTTAAGACCTTCTTTGTGAAAGCACTAAAATGAGTTTCAATGATATATGTAAGCATCATCATCTCTACTTTCCATTTCTGCCGTTAAGTCTTGTGGAGAGAAACAGTTTGTGATCCGTTTCTTGATGGACAGCAATAGTTATTGTCATTCCGTATCGATGCTGATTTTCTTTAATATCATCAATTCATATTCTCCCAGGGCGGCCTCTTGCTTTCGTGTCAGATCCTCTCATGTGTATCGCCCGCATTGAAAGTTATTCTGGCTGCATTCTTACTAAACGACCAATCCATTTAATCGTCTCTTTCCTAATGAATTTGCTGCATCGCGTTGTTCCTACAGTCTGTCTGATAATATCATTTCCAACTTTGTCTTGGATGGTTGAGTTGGCTGCTTTTCTCAGGCAACTTATTTCGCAGGTGTTAATTTTGCCTTTTATAATGTCTAGGTCTGGAAGCACGTTGCTGGTATGAATATACAGTAAATAATATTTTTCTTGGGACTAATACTTATGTTTGCATTTCTTAATAAGGGTGTCAGTTTGAACCTAAGTTCACTAGCTCGTTGACATCGTGTTTATATTTCCCGAACTATTATCCTATCCTTCGATAATATACTTTCTAGATAGTTAAAGCTTCACTCGAAGTTGGAGTACATCTGCCCATGAGGCAGGGAACAGCAAAACTCAGGTCCAGGTAAAAGCCAAAAGTCCAAGCGGACGATTAACCGGGACCTTCCGCTGGAATTCACAGCCGGTGAACGAAGAAGAAGAATGCTTTAACTTTCTTCAGAAAAGTACAATTCAACCGGATGTGTAGCGGAGCATGAATTCTGCTGATCTGATTTACTTCAGTTTTAGTTGTACTTATTTTTATTTTATAACTTCTGAATGTTGAACTCAGGTTGTTCAAATGTTGCTGTAGTCCACTACCCCTCGTCATAGAAAAGGCACTCCTCGTCTGCAAATAGTAGCTCGTTTATTATGTGAAGAACCAGATCCACAAGCAATGCTACAAATCAAAAAAAAAAAAAAAAAAGGTTTTGGGGACACGAAATAGGAACTCATCTAGTTTATCTCCCAAGGAGTCAGGTTATGTGAATTGTGTATTGTTACAAGCTTCTCTCATTACCGTACGTATACATGATTTTGTGTTAGCGCACTAAAAGGCATCGTTTCTGTTTTTAGTCGCATTCCTTGTCCATGTCCCATTGACTGTCTGGTCATTTTTTTACTGGTGCCTGATCAAGTACAGGTTGTTTTATTCTTCTTAGCACAGTTAAAGATGGTTGGCCTCGTACGTTTTTCGCAGTTACCCAGAATCATCAGAAGGACAGTTATGATCTGTGAGACCTAACGGACTCAACATGAATGAAAACCCTTTCTTTCTTACATCAATGGAGCTAGAATTCTCTACTAAACCAATGCCCAGGACTCTTGGGGAGCGGTAATTTGAATTACAGGGGCGAAGGAGAGTTCCTGGTGTAGAGACCCTGTACTTCATCACCTCGGGCGCTACAAGGGTTCTATGCTGGTCTTACGGACTTACATCAAAACTCTTGCCACACCTCTACATGGGGCGCCTCGGATGATGAACTACATCAGCCTAAACAGATATGACAATGGATCTCGAAGCTAGTGGCCAGCAGAGATACAGTGTTTAGAGAACTTGTGGCACTCATCAGTCCATCCCCAGCGCATGGGTGACATCGTCTCTACAGAACTCATTATGCAGTCAGTGAAGTTCACTGTCAGAGCCTACTAGTATTGACAATGGTTCAGATTTACCTTTTATATTTAACCTCCTACTAAATGGTAATAACAGTTTTAGCTGGCTATTATCGTCATCCTAGAGATAATGATCGAGGTGTCCTTCGAATGCGGTGTGTATCAGTCTGACGGGCAAGGAAGCAACTCTGCACAGATCTGGAAAACCGATGCACACACAAACCTCAGGTTCTGCAACAAAGATAATGTCCGGAAACAAACGATGGGCTAGTACTTTATGCCAGAGTTTACAACCGGTAGAAGCAAACAGACCACCAGGACTCGCTATACTCTCATCGAGAGGACTCAAAATATTCGAAAGCCTATTATACCTGTGGTGTAGTGATGAGATGCTCGCCTGTGGCACTGTAGGCCGTGGGTTCAGGTCCTGACTTTACCGGACGTTTGTCAAAAATACCCATGGATTCCAGATGGACCCAGTCTTAAATGGGTACCAGGTAAAGTCCTGGAAAATAAAGGCGGTCTACGGGATGTTGACCACATTCCTCACCGAGTATCGATTGATCTGTCAAATGTGTGTCTAGCCTCATAGGCCCATTACACCTGAAGTCGGGAACGAGGCTCACTTACATGACTTTGTTCCATGTACTTGATTGTCCCCACTGCAGTCAACGTATCATACTTTCCCGCAGAGATCATTCTATAGAAATAAACTAGTCTGGCTAAGAATTAAAGACAGAGCTCTGAACATTAGGAACAGTATAAGCCTTCGTGATGGATGTAATACCCTGTGATAAACGTAAGCTTCAACAAGGCACGCAAATTCCAGAGATGCATTCGCGCTGTTGATCTGAGCCGTTGAAGTATGCTTTCTCCAACTCATCCCAGTCGTGATGACAATACTTAACTATGGACTAGTTGTTGATGACTCTCGTGAATTTGTCAATTTTACCACAATTGGTCAGTCGGTTGCCTGAGCAACAGACATAATAAGAAGACGTATAGTCGTGTTTTGCCGTTGTAGATGTTTATTCTTCTTCACAACAACAAATCACTTTGCGACTTAATTTGGTGACGCTGATGGAGATCCTCTACCTGCGAGATTGAGTAGAGAATAAAGCCTTGTGTGGAAACTGAGCTACGGGTACAGGGGAAATTAAAGTACAATGGATTGAATAATCTAAACAGTTAATTGAGCTACAAACTGTGAATAGACATGTCTATACTGCCTTAGCTATACACAGCAGGGTATGTCTATACACAGGTTTATACATAACTTGTATGCATGAGCGCGTGTGTGTATACACCGGTGGTTGTATATGTGTGTGTAATTATGCATGAGTCGGAGTCTACACATCTGAATTCATAAGTGTGGGTATATATGTACATATATAAATTATATATATATGTATAGATATATACATATATATATATATTCCTTATCATTATTATTTTTTATCACTCGCGCATCTTCCTACCCGTCCGTTTCTTTTTTTTTTTTCTTTACATCAGCGTGGCTGCTTCTAGATACGTCAGTTAAGTAATTTTGTATATTCGTGTGGTTTTTTAATTTTTTTTTTCATTTGTACATGTGCTAATGAAGGCTCTATTGCCACGACATTCATTTTTCCTTTGTGTGTGGTATATTGTGAAGCTCGCTAGTCTACTTTTCGTTCTGCTTTCTATCTTTCCATGATATCTTAGAATTTGTGTTTACAAGGCTTTATTTTATCTGGCTACCTATTATTTTCTCATTATATGTCTGTAAAACCTGATCTTAGCAGTGTTACATGATTTATCACATACATTCGGTATTTCAGTGAACACTAGTGCATAAATACGGTAACTTGCTTTAGACTAGTCACTGACAATTTAATCTTCATTCCGGGTATCACTTTTTTCTCTGTAAATGTCATTCTTCCGTGACTTTTTTTTCCTCGGCGGAAAACAATTGAGGGGGTGGTTGTTTTTAAATGTCTATTTTTGTTTTGACTTTCTGGCGCATTTATGGCATGATTTCTTGTAAATGTTTTTGTTTATCTAGTGCAATCAAAGTTGTATGATCAGCAAATGGCAGATTGTTTACAGCATGACGCCAAACTGATATTGCTGAAATATCGTGAGTGGATCACATTATTATTTTACTGCCTGGCAAACTGATCACATCATGCAACAAAACACAGTCCTGTCTAACGCCTTGATTACACTTGGGAAAATAATAACCGCCAGCACTGGCTGTATTTGTCACGTTTGCTGTGTAGTCAAAAGACTGAATCTGAGAATGTATGGTCGTATGTCTAAATGCTATCGCCACGGACTGTGTGACAGTTCGGATTTTATTTTCGCAAACTTTTAGTTTTTATGTTTGTTTTTTATCTTCCGATGGAGCATAGACACCCAACTAACTCATGCAACGTCATGTTATTCTTTGCTACTGTCTGTAGCTTGTCCAGTATGTTAGTAAAAGTTTTAAATGTTCTTCATGGTTCCAATTCACACAGCAGTACTAATTTGACATTATAATTCACTCTTTTCAATTTAGTATCAGTTTTAATTTCTGTTCACCTCCACAAGTTTCATATTGCTATGGAAATTTCTCTTGCCTTTCGTATTCGTATTTTAATATCTATATCAGTTCCATCTGTATCTATATTAATATCCAAATAGGCATATGACTCAACATCTTAATGTGGGATAAAATTTAGAACAACGAAATTACTGTTTGCCTGTGTGTGTTTTTTCTCATCAATAATGTCTGTCCCTTACGAAATTTTAGACCTAGTTGTTATAATTTTGCATAACGTATATTTAATTTACCTTGCATCTGATTCCATAAGGGGGTAGAAGAAGAGTACCATCACCGAAGTCCAGATCATCAAACAGTTTTTTTAGGAGACCACCCAAGAATTTCATTCCTAGTGCTAGTTGTAGCTGTCTTCATAATCCAGTCTATTGTCAGTAAAAATAGGAGAGGCGACAGAAGACTTCCCTTTCTCACACGAGTCCTTTTTTTGTATTTTATACGTATATGTTTTCTTTCTTTTATAAAGAACTCGACATTTCATGTCTGTATATATATTGCGTTTACTAAGTAAATAATCATATGTGGAATCTCACAGTGCCTCATTGATGCCTAGCGAGATTCCCTATTTATTGTGTCAACAACAAAAAAATGACAGTCTATGACTCAAATATAACATCAAATTCAATCCCACGCTGTGCTCTGTTACAAGGCTTTTCAAATAAGCTTGCTCAGGGGCCAGAATGTAGACAATGGGAACCGTCACGGTCAGAGGCCGATCCTAAGCGTAGCAAATATCATTAATATGATACAAGTGACAATGAAAGCAGGCCATTTGCTGGGCCTCTGGGGGCCGGATTCGCACCGCTGGCCTCTATTTGAATATCCTTGCTCTATTATTACGCGTAGTGTGGCTACCTGGCAAGTGTAGGATTTGTTTGGTAAAAAACCTGCCCGTTAATCCATCAGCTGTTTATCAGTGGCATTTTTTGTCTTTCCGAAATAATCCCTATTTATTTATTTTTTCTAGGAACTGACGAACGCATAATTCCTCTGTAGATTTCACATTTCTCTAGGTCACCTTTGGTGTGGTGGGAGAGGGGGATGGCTGATGGTAGTTTCACAAGATATCCTTCTTTCCCGTCTTCTGAAATGTCAACTTGATAAAGAAATAGCCACAAATGTGAGAGAAAGTAGACGGTGACAAACACAGTTTAAAGACCAAAGTTTTCTTAGAAATGCACGGATAATGTGTGACGTGTATTTCAGGCGCTTGGATGCCCGCTTCTCCTTTTTTTGCAAACCGGGTTTTGATTCGCTGCGTGGGTTGTGTTTACTATTACAAATAATAAAAGCATTGAACAGTTGGAACAATTGAAAGCTTTTAAAACACGCACAAGCCTGTAGACAATTTGTATGGAAAACATTATGTTCTTGTTTTGGAGAACAATGTCTCAACAGTGCTAACAAAAATTGGCTGTAAAGTACATCATAAAGTACAGGCGTGTTAAACAGTTCACTACATTACTCATGTTACCACCTCGTATTTCTAATTCTAAAGTAATAATATTTATTGAGAAGATAAAATATTTTACCACAGTGTTCACGGCGTTGAATACAAAACATAATTGCCTTATTTTCTTCTCCTTCGTCTATTGTTCCAATCACCTTCTTGTGAGGTGCAATTTTTCGTTATTTGAAGCCTTACTTAGACTCTTGCCAGCGGCCGAAATATAGCCCGACCATAAATATGACCTAATGGTTGAACGCGGTTTCTGGGACTTCTCCACTGTGATCCTCATCCACATGGTGGCACTTTGTTTCATCGGGTGTTTATCGCTTGCGTGATGTCCTGGTTGGGTAAAATCTACTACTAATCCTTTGTTTTCTTGTTCTTGCAAAAACCGCTTTTAAAAGTTGATTTTGGCAAATGTTTTCTGAATTTGAGAGTTTGCTGTGACTTCCATATAGTCGTGTATGCATTATTATTGTTTACTGTGACAAATGCAGGATGAATAATTCAAACTAACGTGTACTGGGGGCTTTTAAAACTCAGCCTAATGAATGATGTGCACCAGACAAGAATAGACGCCATTACTAGTCCATTCTTCCTAAGAATTCGATTAGACAACACACAAAAAAGTTAGTCGGACTAGAGAATAATTGCTTTAGAGGAGTCTACTGTGTATCTTTATTACTGGAAATTCCATTGTACATTATCGAGTCCGTCAACCGTATCTACGCGCAGTTTAATGTGATGGCTTTCGGTTATATAGTTAGTTGCTTATCTTTTACAGGACGTGGCAGAACCATCTTAGCATTTTTTGGCTGTTGTGGTTTTTCTAGGCAAATTTACATCCAGTAGTTTGCCATTGCGTCTGGACAGTCGGCTTCCCGATACCACTGTCGAAACCAACGCAAGATGCAGGGCCCGCAGTTGGAATTGAACCCAGCCACACACGCTGAATTTTGATTATATACTGATCTATAATTTACTTCTACTACACAATTGGCACACCGAAGCCTTTTGTAAATCAAATTCCCGATTTTGCGGATCAAATATACTTGCTTCCTAATCAAATTCACCATTATGGTAATCGAATTCACATTCTGGAGATAAGGTATCTCTACAACAATATTGTCTTTATCTATCGTAAAGAAAAATGAAACAAATAGCAGAGTGAGAAATTTGCACCAACCTCAGCGTAGACAGTGTATCAACAACCCCCTGGGTGGAAACCTGAAGTTGCCAAGGCATGAATAGAGAAACGAAGTACAACTAAAGAATAGGAGAAATGCAGAAAGTCTCTGAGACTGTCTGATGCTCACAATCAAGCCATGAAAGAAAGAAAAGATCACATAACTAAACACATTAAACAAACTGCGAGGGAGATTAGGCACACCACAAGGGAGACATTCTGCAATGAAATGGGGTGTGAAAAATCCCTTATAAAATTCTAGCAACTACATCACTATACAAACGGCATCAAACAATTATGTAATATGCCCGAATTAAAGATGGACAGTGGGGTGATGGTAAGATCTGATAAAGACAGAAATGTGGCCATCCTATACAGATTTCTCCTGCACACCGAAAAGAGAGACGAAGACGAGAGGAAACAGATGAAACAAACTTGTCACAATATGCACATCGCTGAAGTTGATGGAGAAGATGACACAGTGTACATGTCTGTTGCTAACATCAGAGCTGTACTGAAGAGCTGTCCCGACACAGCCCCAGGCCGCCTGATGACATAAGATATAGTGACTTCAAATGCCTCCAGGAAACAGGCACAGTGAAACTATCCAGGGCATTTAACAAGACATTCAAAAGAAAATTCCCGATGACTGACTCAACATCTACCTCAGACCCGTCCTTTCTTATCATGTCATATTAACGTAAATCTCACAAATAGGAACCAAGTCGGTACAGGTAAGTAAACAGATACTCAGCATGTCTAAGATTAATGAAATAAGTTGAATGTAGAATTACTAAAACCACCCAAAAGCATCATTCTACAAAATAAAATAGTACATCCTTCATTTTAGTTGGCTAAAATCATAAAACTAATACAAAACTTAGAATTCTTTACTCTTATGTCAAATGAGTATTGCTTACATGGAGTAGAAACATAGAGAACAACTAACAGAGTTACTAATCAACTACAAACATTCATTAAGTGGTACCTGCGCAGAATATAGGGAATTAAATGATGTGATAGAATCACTAATGGTGAGCTTTGGTGGAGAATGAACAAGTACCACTAGACCAACAAGTGAAGAAAAGACGTTGGTGTTGGATAGGACACACAATAGAAGACTGTTAGAATAATATAATAAGAACGTCTTTGAACTGGAACCCATATGGACATTGAAATAAATGCAGACCGAGAGGGACAAAACAAAATACACACAGAGAAGAGAGCTAAAGTGAAGTTAAAAAGTGAAGTTAAAAAGTGAAGTTAAAAAGATGGGGAGAACTTGGAGTCAGCCGCATGCAATAGCAAAGGATAAAACGACATGGCCTGAGTTAGTCGAGGGGCTATGCTCCACTGGGAGATGGAAAGCAGAAGAAGAAGAAGAAGAAGAAAAGTCAGACCATTCAGTTGAAAAGCCAGGTATTTTCGTCCTTTAAATTAATTCGGAAGCGATAATAAATAAATTAAAGCGAGTTTTACTCTTTGCAGATGACCAGGCCTTGATAGCAGATACAGTCATGAAATTGCATCAACATCTAACATCCATGAATGAAGAATGTAAAACAAATAATATGAGAATCAACACTGAAAAGACAGAAGTAACGTCAATAGGAAAAAAGAAGACCGATCTAAACATAGCAATAGAGTGCAAAGGCATTAAACAGGCATCTGAGTTTAAATATCTGGGAACTACATTTACCGAAGATGGAAAATTGGATAAGGAAATTAACTTTAGATGCAGTAAAGCAAACCAAGTATTGGGACAGCTAGCTCCCCTCTTGCAGCATAAGACAATCCCAATCAGCACAAAGAGACATCTTATTCAAAGCATATTTATTCCAACTCTGTGCTACCAGTGCCAGACATGGTCACTCACAACAAACCATAAAAGAAAATTAGTGACCATGGAAATGAGATGTCTGAGAAGGGCTGTAGGAGTGACCATAAGAGATAAGATCAGGAATGAGATCATAAGAGAAAAAGTCGGCGCAGAATTAATTCTAGATTACATACAAAGACAGCAAGTGAAATGGTTTGCCCACTTAGAGAGAATGCTTTGTGACACCATACCATACAAAGCATACATGGAAAGAGAAGAAGGACGTAGAGCACGAGGTAGGCCAAGAACAATATGGAAGGATAACGTCAGAGAAACTCTACAACAGCACGATGTGCCTATGGTCGAGGCGGCCAGAAGAGCTAGAAACAGAACCTTATATCTCCCTCGACACCCACAGCGGTAAAAGAGGAAGTGAAGAAGAAGAAGAAAGCGAGTTTAATGGAGCCCTCTTCAGGCTCATAACACAGATATGTGAAGTAGGTGTAGAGACATCAGTAAGTATAATCGTGTGTCAGCTACCAATTAGCTACCAAAGCTAATCAAGTAAAGGGGCAACTATCACCCTTGTTGACAAAAAAGCAGATACCCCGCAGTACTAAAGTTAATCTTATCAGAACGATTTTTTTGGCCCACACTATGCTATCAGTGCCAAACGTGGACACTTACATCCTCTAGTGAACGTAAAATTGTGACAACAGAGATTAAATGCCTTAGAAAAGCTGCAGGAATTACAAGGAAAGACAGAATACTAAATCAGACGAATGCTAGGAATAAAGCCAGTCTTACAGGTCATCAAAGAACAACAAATGAAATGGTTTGGACACCTGACAAGAATGCCCTGGTACTATCTACCACAGCGAGCCACACTCAAACGTAACAACGGGTATAGAGCGATTGGAAGACCTCGGAAAAATGAGGCAATGGCATAAAGAACAGCCTTACAGAAATGGACATCAATCCTAATAGTGCTCTTTACAGAGCTCAGCAACGAATGTTACATCTCCCCCGACACTTCGATAAGGTACAAGATGGAAGAGAAGATGAAGGAGAAGAAGATAAAGCTACACATTTCTGCCCTTATAGAATAATTATGAGCACACCATATAAATACACAGAGCGAAATGAAGATGTCTTGTAAACATTTACCTACTGAAGAAAACTGACTTTTCGCAGTAAGAAAAAGACACAAACAGTTTGAGAACCTGTTTTCTTGACGTTAAAGTAATTTTCGCTGGACGTCTTAAAGTTCTGGTGACATGAATCCTAATGGGCATGTCGAGTTTGGTATGGAAATGTTGACAAGTATTTGGCCACCAGGGAGAAGAGTTTTCTAAGTTCCTTCAGTCTGGTTTTGTGTGTGAGCCACTTCCCACGTTTTGGTAGCATCCAGTTGGGAAGGTTGTCCTTTTCTGACTCATTAATATTCCCACCACCCCTGCACCTCTCTCTCTCTCTCTCTCTCTCTCTCTCTCTCTCTCTCTCTCTCTCTAACGTTTATTATTATTATTATTATTATTATTATTATTATTATCATCTGCTTGAAAGATGCACGAATGAAATAATGCATGCATATTCAGAAGGTTAAAATGTAAAATGAGCTTGTGGCCAATCCTTAACACTGTGAAAATAAACTCCGTTCGTTACCTCGATCATTACTTCGTTTCTCCCCCCCCCCCCCCATTCTATATATATATATATATATATATATATATATATATATATATATATATATATATATATATATATATTTTCTCTCTCTCTTTCTCTCTTTCACTCACTCTCTGTCTCTTTCTCTCTCGATCTTTCTCTGAATCTCTCGGTCTTCTCCCTTTCACATCGCCTTTCCAGGCTTTTAGTTTATTTCTAATAAATTGTATACCATTTTATCTGCATAGAAGTCATATTTTTCTTACATAAACAGTATTATTTTAGAATGTTTATCTGCATGAAAGAGTGCTGTTTCCTCCAGGAAACACTCAACTCCTGGAATAAAACCAAAGTCCAGACGTGGAACTTTGCGCCATATTTTGCCGCCGGTAAACACTAAACTGATCGACCATATCTTAGAAGAAGAAAAGTTTTAAAAATTGTTGACAGTACAAACTGAAAAAGGATGTGAACTATTGCATAGGAAGCCTATTAACCAATGCCATATGATAATGACCATGAAAAGAAGGTTTCACAGTCATCCCAAATAATAAAACCAAGGGTGAAAAAAATGATCTTGCTTGTAAAGATGAGAAGTAAAGCATACAGTAATAACGATGTGTATTTTTATTTTTATTTCAGTTGACAAGCGCAGTGCAAATCCTGTGTCTGACGTAAGTTTTTTTTCCCCAGCTTTTATTGTCATCGTTATAGCAATGTCTGGGAAGTGCTTGGGGAATTGTCTGGGAGACCCGTAGGGCAGGGACTGGGAGTCACTGTATAGAATTGGCTGGGAATCACCGTAGGGAAATGTCTGGAAGTCACTGTAGGGAAGTGGCTAGAAGTCACTGTTAGGAAGTCTTTGGGAGTCACCGTAGGGACGTGTCTGAGAGTCACTGTATGGAAGTGAAGTCACCGTAGGGACGTGTCTGAGAGTCACTGTTTGGAAGTGAAGTCACCGTAGGAAAGTGGCTGAGAGTCACTGTATGGAAGTGGCTGGAAGTCACCGTATGGAAGTGGCTGGAAGTCACCATAGGAAAGTTGCTCGGAGCCGCCGTATGGAAGTGGCTGGGGGTCACCGTAAGAAAGTGGCTGGGAGTCACCGTAGGAAAGTGGCTAGGAGTCACTGTATGAAAGTGGCTGGGAGTCACCGTAGGTAAGTGGCTGGGAGTCACCGTAGGTAAGTGGCTGCGAGTCACCGTAGGTAAGTTGCTGCGAGTCACTGTAGGGAAGTGGATGGGAGTCAAATCTCATTCATTCACCTCCCTCCCCTGGTAGGGCCTCAGAACCCACACCTCATCCTTGTGGTAGGACCGATTTGTGCTTATAATAATAAAATCAACGCTTACAATAGTGTGTAATATTAGGCTAGGCTGAATGTAGAATGAAAAACTAAAGACATGAATGTTTGTACTTCGGGTTTTATAAATATGGTGTGTGTGTGTGTGTGTGTGTGTGTGTGTGTGTGTGTGTTTGTGTGCGCGTGCGCGCGCTTGTGTGTGTAAAATCAGTTATTTTGAAAACTACAAAAATCCATATGCTTTTCTTCTTTTGCCTTTCATCCTGCCATGGACCATAGACCATCCACCAGCTCACGCTAAGTTGTTCTACCCTCTGCTATGACAACCAAGGGTTGAATCCATCTTTTTTTAACTTCACCCTCTTATTTGAATCTCAGTCTGCGTGTGTTGTTTCTATTTCGGTTGGGGGAGGGTGGGGGTCAATTTTTATCTATGACCTTGTTTGTTCCAGTGTAAAGTCTCTATATTTATACTGTTGTCAGATTTTTTTTCTGCATATATCTAACGCCAGCGTCTTTTCTTCATACTTTTTGCAGAGTCACATCACATCATAGTGTTCTCTATTAAAACAGGAGAGGTCAAAAAATTATCATACATAAGTTAAAGAGAGAGGATCGACTTCATTCTACAAGTTCTATTTCCATATCGCTCTTTTACTCTCAACAGAACGTATATTGCCTGCACGAACTCCGTAGCTCCAGCGACCATCCCGGGGGATTTCCGTAAACTGCATTAATGAACAGAGCGATGCAGTCTCGAACGATCCCACGATCTTCAGAACTTAAGGCAAACGCTTGGCCACCTCGCAACGGAGATCCCCCTGTGTACACCTATATTGTTATTACCACGTATTAACTGTTCCTATCACATGTGTAACAAAATAAAAACAATTTCTTTCAGACACTAGACCAAGAAAAAGATTTACAAGATTTGCTGAGTTTAGTTCGTAAGTATTCATTTCTTTTATACTGTGAGTGAACGGAAAGTAAATAGGATCCCGCGATGGCTGAAAAAAAAAATCATTAACGTGTAGTTTCTAATATTAATTGCTATACTTTTTGATAACATTACTTGCTACACACAGTCAGACAGGGGTGGGGGTAAAAGGGGGGTGGGGCGTAGACAGACTGTAAGATGTTCATCACGTACGGGAAAAGATAAGGGGCCTTTCAGAAAGGTTTCCCTTGGCACTGTCAGCTTGAGAACCTTTCACTGGCCGCTGGAAAAAAAACGGTTGCCAAGTGATGTTACTCCTGGATTCACTCATGCGTGGGCTCATTCATTCATACACACGAATCAACATTAATATAAATGAAACGGCATATTGGATACAAATTATAGAAAATTACAAAAGTCTTTGATGCTCATTATTTTAGAATTGCTCGCATTCATTTGCTGAATAAAATATCACACACAACATTAAAATACAGATTATTAATCTGTATTCTGTCATCATCAGGTGCCTAGCCGACTGGCGTAGGCGATCATGCCTCTCCATAATCTGCGATCTCCTGCAGCATGTATCAGTTCGTGTGCCGACACACCTCCATGTAATACAACAAGACTGTCAAGCATCTTCTCTCATTGTCTTCCTCTATCCCTCCTTCCACAGATCTTTCCAGTGGTCACAACATGTTCTATTTTCCCTCTTCTCATAACATGGCCGAAAAAATGATGACTGTCTCATCAGCAGCTTCGGCTCCACCTTATCAGCCAATCATCAGATAGTATTGATACCTGCACAATACAGTATATGCTGGTCCCTTGGAGGATAGGCAGAGCGAGAGGACTTCTCCGCAATAGTCACCAGATATTGATACCGGCGCAATACAAGTACATGCTGGTCCCTTTGAGGATAGGCATAGCGAGAGGACTTCTCCGCAATTGTCATCAGATAAGACTGAAACCTACACAACACAATACAAGGCATTAGCCAGAGCGAGAGGCCTTCTCCGCAAGCACCATGTCTCGGAGAAACAAACCTAACGGAAAGCGCAACGGACAGAGGAAACAGCCCACTGACAGATCTACCCGATCTAACTCGGAGGCCAGGAAGACGCAGACAGATACTACCGAACCACAGGAAGACGCCCCTACTACCAGTGAGGCCCTGAGTGACGTCCCAGCGTCACCTGAACCAACACAGCCAAGTCCACAAACATCTCCAGATCGACGAAAGACAGGCAGCTATGAATTTCCTGCCACAATATTTCTACGACAGACCAACTCGGGCCGGACAGCAATCACTACACTGGCAACGCTAACATTGATCAATATGCTGGAGATCATGTTAGGCAAGAGGGCAGTCGCAAAGATTAGGAGAACTCGAGAAGGAGTGATAGCTTCACTAAACAGAACCAACCGCACCTCAGACATGCTGGATGACATCCAACACGACGGCAAGAAAGAACTCCGACTATCCGAGGAGATAACTATGACGGCCACCATCTTCCAGAATGTAAGACGCTGGGTGATCCGAAGAGTCAACCTGCAATGGAGCAACGAAGAAATTCTGCAACAAATAAGGAAAGAAAACCCCAATGTCAACATCAACCAAGCAGAGAGACTGGGCTCAAAACGGCATCCATTGCCAGTGGCGGTGATAACATCGGAAGGAGAAAACATCCCGGATAAAGTCTACCTAGATCAAAGAATGCAAAGACCAGAGCAATACGTGCCACCGGTGATCCAGTGCTCTCGTTGCCAAAAAGCATGGCACTCCCGGGCCACTTGTGTGAGCGAACATGAAGTATGCCGATACTGTTCACAACACCATGCCTTCAACAATTGCCCGCTGGCAAAGCTGGACACAGACTTTAAGTCACCCAATACGAACAGAAAGTGCGCCAACTGCTACGGCCAGCACAGCACCAGGTACCTGGGGTGCCCCTATCTGCAACAATGTAGAGAAATTGCAACCACGGCCATACGGGATAAGATTCCATACCATGAGGCCCGCAGAAGACACGAAGCAACCCAAGGCATAACTGCAGCCATTATCACCAAATTGAGCAACGAGGTGGCTCAACTCAAAAGTGACATCCAAGCTCTCAGAGACGAGAAAGACGCATCCAAAACCCAACGAGATGAAGACAGAGATGAAATAACAGGCCTGAGAGCTATAATGCAGGCGACTCTTGACACCCAGAAGCGGATGACAGCAGAGATGACGAAATTCAAGGAGGACATCATGAATGCACTGGCCACTATCCAGACACAAAAGGAACAACCAACTAAGGCAAGGGAAGACGAGGCGGGCATCAATGATCTGCGGGATAACCAACAACTTCTCGCGAAAGAAGTCGCAATGATCAAGAAGGCACTGGCTGAAACAGAGGAAAAGTTACGAAGAGCATACGAAGAAAACAACAGACTTAACAAGGAACTGCAAGCAACCAACAGAGTGATGGAAGAAAGAGAGAAAGCACGGAAGGAGGCAACAAGAAGGCAGCAAATACAGGGAGCCGAGACCCAGAAAAAGCCGCATCAAACACCAGATAAGAAAACTCAGGCATCGCTGATGAAACAGTTTCCGTTGGCAACAGTTGACCAAATTAACCAACGCATCATGGAGATGGAGGACCCGAACTTCTATAACTCAGAACTGCAGGATGATGATGTTTTTTGGTCATCACCAGAGGAACCACATCGACAGCCAAAATTTGAAGTCAAACGAGGTCGACACCGTTACCCCAAACACTAATACCAGATACGACACAACCAAGGCCAAATTACCGAAACCCTATGTAGGAGCAGTACTTTACAACAAGGATACGAGAAAATCACCAAATAATACCAGACCTCAGCAGTATAGCCATCAGTACCTGCCCAAGTCAATCGACCGCCGGTCCTTATTAGGATAGGCAATCTACTTTCCCCGGAAACAACAAACAGCCAAGGAATACCACAATAAATCGATCCAACATCCAATCATCTTGAGCGCAGCACAGGGCCAGCCAGATTACAAAAACAACAGCAAGAGCGGAAACCACAACAAACAGAAAGTGACAATATTGAACACAATCCAGAATCAAATAAGATCGCGACCAGAAAACGTCACTACAAATATAGCTGAAAGGAAAGTGAGCAGAAATGTGAACGGACCTAGCTGAAAGTGGTCAAAGAAAGAGAATTTGAATTTGAATTTGATGACTGTCTCCTTCTGATGTCTGTGATAAGTTGTCTTCGGGTTCCCGCCTCTTTCAAAACCTCTTGGTTGCTCTTTTTCGCTGTCCAAGGTATTCTAAGCTTTCTTCTGTAAAACCACATCTCTGAGGCCTCTAGAAATTGTTTGACCTGCCTACCGATTGTCCAGGATTCACAGCCATCTGTATTCTGTAACGTATTTAATATTCAGTGTTTCTTTATGTGTCTGATGATATCAGGAATGTAATTGTTTTGTTTCTTTTGTGATGATTCTTTTCCCCCTCACTCCTCCTCCTCACTCTCCCTTCTCTCATTTTGTGTTCCAAGAAGTAAGCATTTTATCCGCTTATAGACAGACAGTAATGGATTATTTGTCCAGCCGACATCAGCAACTTTGTTTGAAACGAGTGTGCTTCTCCTGACTGACTGAGTTTCTACCCCACCAGGACATCACACAAGCGATAAACATCCGATGACACAATGTAAAACCATGTGGATGAGGATCACCGTTGAGAGGTCCCAGAAACCGCGTTCAGCCATTATGCCATATTTATGGCCTGGCTTTATTGCGGCCCACGGCAAGAGCCAGGGTGGGGCTTCAAATAACGAAAAATTGCATTCTAAAAAGGACGGTATTTTGTTATATATTCTGACTGATTACCCTTTCACTCCTTCAAGCTAAAGTCATGCGGTTTCCTTACAGGATTATCTCTTGGAGAAAGAGAAAGATCTTGACCAGTTTTATTACTATATTACCACCCACGGTCTTGTTATCAACCGCCGACTGGCTTTATCTTTTGTGTCGTGTTTTCCGAAGTTCTTACGGGCTATTTACTCTTGCTTTCACTAGAGAAATGAAATAACAACCTATTTATTAGAAGCTTCCATTGTATTATTTCCCTTAACTCACCCCACTCCAATCTAATTCCTTTAGGAAGCCTTTTAGCTTGTTGTTGCTTGCTAATCAGAGAAACGTGTTTCATAGACACTTGTTCATTTAGAACGAGGTTGGAACTGAGTAGACAACGTCTTGGCGCATTTCTATATACATAAACTGTATTAACCTCCATTCACCCAATATTTGTAATGGCTTTTCAAGCCATTTATTTCACTTAGCCGAATGTTGACTTCATAGCAAGCCATACTCTTTTACCTCAGAATTTGACTTTGACAATTAGTTAGTCTTTTCTCTTGAAACTAGTGGCAGCGTATAGGGCAAAGGTCATATCTCTTCATGTCTAGCGGTTCGTAGGCACCTGAAAGGGTAAATCAGTAAGGGAATTGGAATAAATGGAAAAATGATTGCAGAAAGGTGAAGAATTGAGCGTCTGAGAAGCATGAAATATACATGCGATAAAAACAATGGTCCTAAAATTCTACGCACTAATTGTGGAAGACGTTACTTAAGGCCAGCGGGTCTTTGCTAGTCATGCTCGCTATCGCACGTGCTGTGATTACCATGACACCCTTCCCCCCCCCCCCTCACCACCACCACTCTCCACCCCATAATATAATGCAATACTATCGTCTGGAAATACAAAAAGGTGACAGCAACAACAAATGACACCATTGTAACACCGACAACATTAACAATAAAGCACTTCGTGAGAGATAACTAAATTATTTCTACTGTGTCCCAAGCTATTTTCCATCTGTAATTTGATTCTGTCCCCTGTTGCCACATTTTTATCTTGTCATTGGCTTGCGGTTGAGGCAAGATGGAAAGTACATTGTCATTGGCACCACAGTGGATCCAATTAAATGTAAGGATGCTGTGTTCTGCTATGAGAGGCAGTGCCCTCTTAACACATAGACCCGATGGGGCCCGAAAAGCAAAGGCCCCATGCCAATGTCTTTACCCCCAGTGACTTGCTGCCAGTTACTGCCTTTGTTACACTTTTTTTTTGCGGTAGAGGCAGGGAAGTCTTTCAGCCTGAGGATTTACGGCTGCATATAATACTTCCCGTTTCTTTTAGGATGACATTTTTCGTTATTTGAAGCCCTACTCTGACTCTTGCCAGAAGCCGCAATGTAGCCTGGCCATAAATATGGCCTAATGGCTGAACGCGGTTTCTGGGACCTCTCCACGGTGATCCTCATCCACGTGGTGGCACATTGTGTCATCGGGTGTTTATAGCTTGTGTGATGTCCTGGTGGGGTACAAAGTCAGTCAGTCGGCGGCATAAAACTATAACATTTTTTGCCGTCCTCTTTAGGACGAAATTTTTCGTTATTTGAAGCCCCACCCTGGCTCTTGCCAGGAGTTGCAATATAGCCTGGTCATAAATATGGCCTAATGGCTGAACGCGGTTTCTGGTACCTCTCCACGGTGATTCTCATCCACATGGTGGCACATTGTGTCATCGGGTGTTTATCGCTTGTGTGGTGTCCTGGTGGGGTAGAAAGTCAGTCAGTCGGCCGCATGATTAGTCCTGTCACCAGATTGTGCATGTGAGGGTTTTATTTTTCTTTCGACAGAAAAAAACTCCCAGCCTTACTGAGGTTCGAACTCGGGTCTCCAGTGACTTGCTACAAAAAAAAAATATTTTCTGTAAACCGCTTTCGTAGAGACTCCAGCACACTAGCTTCTGCTTAGTCATCTATCCTGATGTTAAGGCAGCTATGACAAGAAGTATCAATGTATTTACACATGCCGCAATCTTTACACTCATAGCTACATATTCTTATCCTACAACATCGTCGACAGAAGTAGGCAAGGCATTCTTCATGCAATATTTTAACAATAAACTTTGTTTCTGTTATCTTGAATAAGATTTGAATTTTGACGGGATAAAACGTTTATGCGAGTAATGATATGCATCTATATTGCCTCATAGAATATCATTTGATAAGTACTT